CATTCATTTAGGAGTTGGGCTCAATGATCCTTATGGGCCCCTTCCAACTCGGAATACTCTGTGTGATTCTGTGTGTAACTTTTGGGAGAATGTTGCAATTACCAGCCACGGGAGACCTGGGAGTCAAGAAAAATCTTGGTCTGGTGTATGTCTCAGTATTGCTTCCAGGAATGAACATGTGCTTGTGTAGCAATGGATGTTTGGAAAGAGTCCTGCCAAAGATGGACTAATGAAGCAGAAGTTTTTAATGTTGTTTAAACTCATGTTAAGAGGGCTCTTTACAGAGCCACTGCGTTTTCCCCTATACCTCCACTGTAAATCCCTTATCTCTCGGGCCAGAGTGTCCTGGGAAGATGTCCCAAGGTGTTTCCATTGGTCCCTTGTTAACCCCTCCCTTATTGGCTGTAAACCCCTTACATTGATTGTGACCCCTCACCTGTGATTGGTCCCCAAGGGCTATATAAGCCCCCTCCCACAATTAAACCTCCTCTTTCGTCCTGTCTCCCCTGGTGGTCTGGTGAGTGCTCCGTCTTGGGGTCTCAGGGCCACGTGGTGGGAGGCAGGGTGGGAGAGCATACTCCTTCAAGGTTATGGACTAAAACGAGGCCTGAAGGATCTCCCCCTTCCCAAATATCCACCGTTATGCTTGTTTTCTACTTTTTAATAGAAAATTGCATATGGCACAATTGTTCTCATAAATTTCAACTTTATTACTTTGTGTCCAGTTAGATCAAATCAGCTGATTCCTTGCTTGGAAATTCAGTGGAATTTCTCTCTACTACCCTTTATTTCTTTTCAAGATCCCTGCTTCTCTGAAAATGTGATTTGACTTCTCCTTGAGTGATAGTTCTCACACACACTGTGGAAATCCTTCAAATATAACTATTTGAAATGATGTGTGGTGTAACAATTATAATCCTTCAAACTGTTATTTCTTCAAATTTCTCTACACTCTAAATGCTGAAAGACAGTGACATAGATACTACTTTGAGTTGTATTACTGTGTTGTTTGGAAGCATGCTGCTGTGGGCTGCCAATATGTGATAAGAAATACAGAGGGACTAATTTTTATTCCACTTAAAAAAAAATTAAAGTGGCTACAGAAAGGTCCTGTGTGATGCATAAACTTTGTAAAAATCAAGGTATAGCACTTTTGCTGAAGATGCTTTTTAAGAGCAGATCCGTAGTATTCTGATCTGAATGGTTTGAGGCTGGATTTGGGTTGGGTTGGGTTTTTTTTTTGAAAGCTTAAATCTAAAAGTGTTCCATGGCTGGGTATCTTACACTGAACATGTAACATTATAGCTACTGAAGTTCTTCAGAGTTAAAATTGAGAAGGAAAAGCAACAAGTCTAATTAGTCTGTGGTAACATTATTGCATAAATTAGTGGACATAATACAGCCAGTAAATAACATTGAAAAGAATAAACGTTATGGGAAACACCATTCTGGACCACTTGTCTATCAAGTTAACATCAGTCAAATCAGGGATTTTGACTTTGATCTGGGATGCCCTTCTTCGTAAGTGTCCTTTTTTATGAAGCCTGTGCCTCTCCAGAGCACTCCTGTTGTAGAGGTCTCTGCTGGAAGTGGCTCTTCTGTACTGCAGGTTGGCACTGTCATACGTGTACGTGGTGGCTCGAGGGTCACGGAGGCTTGTGAACACATCTGAGCTGCTGACGTCATTTCGTGTTTCAAGTGGTCTAAGAAGCATGTTTCCATGGGGATCAACCTGTGTCAAGGAAGGAATGTGAATTAGACAAGTTCCTCAGCCAGCCCAAGGTGTTTCCCAGATGGACCTTCTGACTACTACTGAAACACTCCTGCAGTGACAGTCGTATCTGGCACAGTGTTCACAAAAATGAAAAGATACTGAATACACTTTCCTAACTAGTGTGAAATTAGCTAATAAATATCTAAGTACCTTCCATCCTGACCTGGCTTCTTGGTCTGGGACCTTGTAATTTGGTTATCCTCTGTGAAATAAGACTTTTCTAATTTTATCTTTAACTTGGGTCACAGTCTTTATGAAATTCTGATTTGTAATGTCTGGTGACTGGACACTTGAAGGTTTCATGTACACAAGGTGAAAAGAAAATGCTACTGTTTAAACAATTTTATACAGATTTAGTGCTGAAGGGTAGTTTCAAAGTTTTGTAACAATGGGTTTATGATATGAAGAGCACGAAGGTGCAGTTATGTAAAATGTTCATGATGAAAATTGATTTTGGACAATTACTACATTGCAGAGATGGAAATCATAGCATATCAGTAACTTGTTCATGTGCCTTGTCATAATCCATTTTACTCAATGGAACCCTACATTCAGTTGCATTTTTATGTGTTAGTACCAGAAGCAGTTGTTTCAAATATGTTTGTCACTTACTTTATTTGTGCTGTTATTTAGTCAGGGCACTGTTTTAAGTACCTATGCAAAGAACTGGAAACTGCAACCACTATGTACATCTGGCACCATATTTTATATATATATATATAAAATATTTTTGTGTTATTGTCTTTCTTATGTATGAATATAATTAACCATGAATGGCAGCATTGCTACAAAGTGTTTACCTTTTCACAAGTCTTTAGTTTTCTACCTGTTTGTAGTAAAACCTCTTTTGAAAATTTTTTGGTGTTCCCAGGATGAAGACTTCTGACTTCTTCATAAAGACTTCCTAGATGTTTCAAATTCACAGATATTTAAACATGCACTATAGCTTGTATGAGGGAAATACACATCAGAACACAGGCCTCTTAAATGAAACTTCAAAGACTTCACCTCGAGGCTTGAATACTAAAATTGGTTTCGGTAAGCTGTGGTGTTTGACCTATCACAGTCTAGACCATGTCTGTGGATACCTTTATATCAAGGAATAAAATAGTAATTATAGACAACATCTAGTGTTGTGAAGCACCAGTGATATGCAATGCTTTGTTTGCACTCTGATCTTTACATTTTTAGTAAGACATAGCAGAGCTAGGAAATGATATGATAATCTACAGCAGATTTGAAGTATGCTCAAGAAAAATCTCCAAGAAAAACACACAGGGAAACCCAGTCTCTGGGGTTGCCACAGAGGATAGCTGGGAGCCAGAGAAAGCCTTGGTTCCACCTGGCAGTGTGGAAGATGTTCCTTCCCATTGCCAGGAGAAATCTCATTTAGTGACTGCTGATGTCTTTGCACTGTGCCAGACTAAGCACCTGCTCACTGAAAACAAAGCAGTGAAAGGGCTATTTGTACAAAAGCCACACAAGAGATCTGTGGGGTAAAAACATCTTCTAAATGGAGTATAAGTCAGCACAGATAGAAAATGCACTTGTCTGGTTTAGCAACTGATTCTGTATGTGCTGAAAAGAGCGTTCAGTGGGAACACCCCGGTTCCCACCACTGTTTTTGTGGGAAAAACTCATATTCTGGGTTAGAGAGGCCAACTTGTCACAAATGAGCATGCTGTTTTCAAATATTTGCTTGAGATATAGACTACCCAGTTTATACTTTTTAGGTCAAGCCTTCAAATTTAAGCAGATGGAAGATTTAAACTAGGGTTTCCTGCTTTCCAGAGGACTACCATAACCATAGGACTATTCATTACTCCAAAGATCTGACATTTTTTTAGTAGAAAAAATAATGATCTCAGAGTTGTCTCTGTGTAGAAAGAGATTTTTTTTTTAATACTCAGAAGTTTTGATAGTCAACCTTTTCGTCCCAGTTTTATGAAATAGCTCTTTGAACTGTCTTTGATTACATAAGCTAATGTGTAAGCTAATTGACTTTAGTCATATAATAGTAGTAACAGTAATGCAAGCATCATTAAGCAATTATTATGGCTTTTCTTTTGACAAGACATCTCCTAACAGCCTACAATCTGAAGTGATTCACAGGGATCTTTCTTAAACTAATATGCCCTGACAGTTTATTATGAGGCAAGCAGCGCATGAATTCCTACTCTAAGTGTTCTGAATGAACCTGTTATTTTTAGAATAAGTTTCATTTAAACCATTTTAGGTGAGGTGATTTGTATATATCATGAAACAATTCGGTATTTGAATTGAAGTCTTAGCAATTCACAGCAAAAGACCTTACACTGATCTTGACTAAATTAGCTCAGCGAAGTATAAAGTCTCTTCTTATGTACCTGGTCAAATTCTCTGTGTAATGTGAAGCTTGTGGGAACCAGTTAGTTTCCCACATAATTAAAAACCCTTTCAGTATATCTTGACGTTCACTTCAAAATATTCTTAAGACTTGTACGGCTGAGGTTTTGTTACTGAAGCTTAGTAATTCTACAAATTCCTGCAGGAATCTGGAAAATGTACAACTTGTTAGGGGATCCCCAAAAGAGACTTGTTATTAGTTTTGTCTATTGTTATTTTTAGAATGAATTAACAGCAAATATGTGCACAGTAAATGCTGTAAATTTTCTGTCTTAAAATCTTTTCTCCCTTACTTAATACAAGGTTACTGGGGCCTTTCTCTTGGCCCTGTGCTGGAGGAAGCCTGTGCATCAGAACCAGAGAGCAGCCTTTAACTCATTCCAACCCATACCTCACTGATGAGGCTCTTTCCCCACATCAGGTACGTACTGCAGTTGTACAGTCTTTGACATATTTGCATCAGATGGCATGACAAAAAATTGGCATGGGAGAGACAAGGCTCTGTCCACTGAGTTTTCTGACCCAGTAGCTGTCTGACTGCTTGCTTAGGAGTAGAGTATCTCAGTCCCCTGCTTATGGAGGAAGGATGAGCCATATCTAGCCTAGAGTACTTTTTCCTTGTCAGATATGATACATTTATTCTTTCAAATACCACCGTGTTGCTCTTTAACTGGAATCCCCTAAATTTTGTTACATAAACTGACCACGGCTCAGATGAAAACAAGATTTCTTGCTTAACAGATGTTCTGAGCCTAAATGTGTGTTTGCACAAACACTTTGGTTTGTACAATGCATAAATCTTGCCTAAAGTTGCAGAAAGCCAAAGAACTGATTTTTTTTGGGTCTTTTGAACATGTAACGAAGAATATGTGAAGAACATGCCAAAGGATCTAAAGCTGATGCTGTGTTAGTCATCTGGTGTAATTATCGAAGTTTATGTATTCTTCAGGTGAATGAATATGGTGATGCTTCTTGTAAGAACATTTGTGTCTGTATTGTATCTAAATTGAGTATATAAATTTTTAATTTTCCCTTTGCAGTGGAACTACCTAAAGCCTAAATCAGCACAGGTAACATATGTATGAATTTTCTTAAGTGTATGATGTGTGCTGAGGAAACATAATAAAAAAAAAAGTAATAATTTTGCTTGTATGTTTACTTAGAAAATGAGTTTTCTGCTTAGGGCCATCAAATTATATTTTAAGTGTAAAACAGTAAAGTAATAAAAAGAAAACCACCCAAAACAACAGTCCTGTGTTGACCACATAAAAAATAGTCAGTCAGCTCTAGGGGAAGAATAGCGTGTTGGCATTCCTTGACAAAGAATGGGTCTCAAATGTTAAACACTGTCTGGAATGAGTTTTTACCTACCTATTTTTTTTACCTTAACTGTTGGAAGATAAAAGGTAATAACTTCTGTTTTATGTCAATACAAACCCATCTTCCTCTTAAGATGAAAGATTCAGGGCCATGTTACTCATACAAGCTGTCTTGTTGGAACAAATGCAGTAGTGTTATCACAATCTGATCTGCAAAGAAACAGGTTATGCTCAGCAGGGCTATACTTATTCAGGTGGGGATTTACTTGATGTTTGAGCTAGTTGTGTGGTTATGTATTCCCCTTTTTTTTCTCCTTCCAGTAGCCACTCTGTTGGAGAATCATGGTTTCCTCAGAACCTGTGGCTGGCCTTTGGCTTTCTATTCTGGGTGCTTTGTGGTTCACAGAAGGTTTGAAAGGAAGGTGTGATGCTGCGCGGACTCGGGGAGCAAGACCATCTATCACTTGCCTTGTGTTGTCATTTATGAACCTTATGATGGCTCAACCCCTTTCCCACTCACAGTATGATTGCATTCTACCTTTTTCTCATATTTAAGAGAAATCTTCTCTGTAACATTCACACTATCATTGTCTGGGGAAACAGAGGCAGTTGCATGCATGGGCTATCTAAATATTTTCTTGCAGGGTGGTTTTATCCTATTTATCCATAATGACATCTAGCTTCAACAAATGAACAAGGACATATAAACAGTCTTTATGCTTTATTCAGAGAAAAAGAAATATTGTTTACTACAAATTAATTTTTTTTGTATATTAGAAATTAAAATGGCATAAACTGTGAAACTGGAAAGACACTATTTCCACCTTCTTCAGTCTGTAGAGAAAGGAACAGCCACATAAGAAACAGCAGTTCAGTTTCATTGTTCATCTGGTCTTCTCTCTACTGTTAATATCGTGGTCAGTTTGTTGAGTGTTGCTCACACATCTAATGCTTTTGTTATCTGCTGAAGGAATTTGAACTCTTTTACTCATGGGAGTTGCATGTCAGATGAGAATGATTAATATCTTCACCTGGCACAAAGAGATGAAGCACTGTTACATATCATCTATTGGTTAGAGGTCCCTGTATGGATAAGTGATGTGGGTCATGAGCAGAAGGGAAAAAATTATCCTGTAGCTATATATACTTACAACTGTACTTTTATGCTCCAAAAAAACTTTCCCCTGCTCTGGTACAGACATCATAATACCAGTGAAAAATCTCAAAACACAATGGAGAAGAGCTCAAAGCTGTTTTCACATAACCTTACTGTGTCCCACTTCTCCAGTCATGTGCATTCTTCCTGCCAAGGACAGAAATACAACCGTTGGACATCAGCATTTCCATGCTGAGTAAAATGAATGTTCACAAACCTGCACTGTACAGGCAGAAAGCAGTCTGCTCACTTAAAGCACTCTCAGCCTCAAAATGGAATTGCTGTCTCCAGTGTAAGCACTTACAAATCCTGGTACAAAGCATGTGTGCCTTCTTTTTCTGTCAGAAAAATGCTGGTGTATGCATGTGGTGCTCTAAAAACTGTCCATTCCATTCCGTTCTGAGTACCAGCCTCAGTTAAATCTTTGCCATGTAACATTTAGACAAAAGCTTTTAGTTATGAGTTAGGGCCTTTTGTTAGTTAAACAAACTCTCCAAATATGTAGGAAAAAGAACTTACCGGCACTGTTATCCTTAACACTTTCTCATCCTTTACTCAGTTTAGTGCACTGGGGCCCATGGGGACAAGGCTGACCTCTGAAGAAGCATTGATTCCCTCTTCATCCTGAATCCTTGCTGTGCTGCTTCTCACTAGGCTGGGTTATCTCAGGAGCTGTTGAGGTGGCTGGTCAGCGTTTGTGAGTTTTGTTGTTTTTTTTCCCTTCCTTATTTGCCATAGAAATGCATAGACAGTATCTGCGTGCAACAATCCATAACAGGGTGGCTTATCTCCTCTGCTCTGTGGAAGACAGTACTTTGTGGGACCTTGGAGACTGATGATTGCCTGAACTGATATTGTGCCCCCATTGTAATAAGCATCTCCTACACAATGGGACAGGAGGCAAATGTGAGTAAGGACTTTTAATGGGCTCATGAGTTCACTGAGGCTGAGAATATGACAGCTTTGTTAATGATGCTTAGCTGTAGTGGTGTGGCTGCTGGGACACCAGACACACAAATTTAGAACTAATAAGATATCACAGAGTTTCTGAAACACACTTCCTGATATGTATGTGAAATTGCAACCATGCATCAAGATACAGTCTTACCTGTTAGAGTTTTATGTGTCGGTCTCATTCTTCCAGCTGAACAGAGGGCTCAAATAAAGTTTTGACCAAATGTTATCACCTCAGGCCACAACAGCACAGAAGTTTATAGGACAGCCTGGGTAAGATCTCATTAATACTTGGATGTAATATATTGTAAGAAAAGCAGAGAAAGGAAGAAGATTTTTGGCTATTAGGATATGTATTTTCCTCTGAGTCAGACTGGGCCAAATACACCTGAGGCTTTGAAGGGTTTATTTCTGAAAAACTGGGAAAAGTTGAAATAGGTTTATAGCAGTTTGCAAGTGCTCAGTGATGTATTGCAAAATTAAACTTGTCCCTGTTAAAAAAAAAGTCCATAATATTACTTCCGGGAGTTTTTCTGGCTTATTTTTTTTTTTGAGAGAGGGTAGTTGAGGTCTGCTTGATTTTAGCTGAAGGAAAAATCCTGACATCTGTGAAAGCTGTCATAACCTAGCAGCGGCATCCTTGTGTTCCTGGAAGCTCTGTCATATGGGCTTCATTCAGGGCTCACTGAAGCAACTAAGTCTGTCTTTGCTTTTTATTTTTGGTGAAGTTTCTGTGTGTAAAGAGGAACTTTATCATAAACATTTCTTCTGTACCACCTTCTATATCAAAGAAATATACAACTGAAGTGGTCAATATTTAACTTCCTTTTACCCTTGTACCCTTGTATTTCTTCTCTGCTGAAAAGAAATGTGTGTCCTGAATACTCATTTGCATTTTATGTGGTTTCTTACTGTGTTTTCAATTGAAGATGAAACAGACCATACATTGCTGTAGTCTCTTAAAATACAATTTTTCTTTAGGCAATCTTAAATGCTTTTGCACGTGTTCCATCTGCATTTATCTCTATCATCACATACATCAACATTGTCACAGTAGAAATAACGTTTGAGAAGTTAGCTTGAATGTTTTACCTGGACTCTATTTGTTTCCAGTCTGCTCTTCTTGCCTGGAGCATGTCCTGCCCTGCCTGCTGTCTTTTTTTGATGTTGAGGTCCTTTCCCAAAGAATATGTAGTTTACAAAGGCATATTCCAGCAAGGCCAGGAACACAAACACAAAGCATCCCATCAGGTAAATATCTATTGCCTTGACATAGGGAATCTTTGGCAAGGTCTCCCTGAGGTGGGTGCTGATGGTGGTCATGGTCAGCACAGTTGTGATTCCTGCAAAAAGAAGAAAAAGACATTGACTAACAAGACAAGGAAGGAGATTTGAGCGTGAAAGGCATAATGGCAGTGTTACATGCTGCCATGAAATGGTGCATGGTAGCATGCAGATACAGATACATACTTCCCATACAGATGGCTTAATTATGTGATCAGATTCTTAACAACCAAGGGAATGCGTTTTGCAGGACTGGAGAGGAAGATATCTTTGTAGGTCCGCTGATAGCACCTTCCTTGGCCTTCCATGCAATGGAGGGTGAATGAAATAACTTTCAAAAGCCCAGGTTGTCTTGGTACAATTTGCCTTAATTTGTACAATAGCTTGGCTAGGGAACATGGTGTTAGCTGACCTGGATAGCAAAGAGTTGATTGATGTTTTTTTCTATGTGAGGAAATGCTTCTCACTTTATTTACATCATAGCCTTGCTTGATCCCAGAGGGTGACTTGCATTGATCTGGAGATCTGGAATAAGTATCTAGCTTTTGATTGGAAACAGAGCATTGAAAGGAGAAAAGGAAGCTGGTATATCTCCACTGATGTCAGTAGGATCTTCTGTATACATTTCAATCATGCATCTGGCCTGAGAGGACACTTTTTAACATCTACATGGATTGTTCATGCAGCACAGTGTAGATACCCTTAAATACCTGAATTAGACTTTTGAGCTTCAGTTTGGAAGCAAGACACTTTTGTTCTGATCCAAAGACCGTTATGACAACTGAAAATCAGTCAGGATCCCAACTTAACTGCAGAGCAAGAGCTTCAGATATAGGCAAGGTGGCACCTGCCTGCCTTCCTGACAATGAAGGTCCTACGCTGTATATGTAAGATCACAATTAATGATGCTGCAATCAGCAATATGGAATTGGTGCCACTGTATTCAAAGGCAACAAGTATCTATGCAGTTCAGTTATTTTGAGAAGAAGTTACCTAGAGCAACTCTGGCTGCAGAGGCATCATAATTGATCCAAAAAGATACCCATGAAAGAATTGTGATTAGCGTGGAAGGCATATAAGTTTGCAAAATGAAGTATCCAATATTTCTTTTAAGCCGGAAGCTAAGTGATAATCGAGGATATGCTCCTGAAAGAAAGAAATCATATAATGAGTAATGCCTAACAAAAGTTAGACACTGATATTTCTGGGTTGGGGAAGAGAGGAGAGGGTTTTTTTAAGTAGCCAGTACTTACCTGTTGTAAATTCCACTCTCTTTGATACCATCTTGTAATCAACGATAGAAAATTGCGGGAGCTCAATGTTATTAACTCCTGTTACTGCCGACTCTCCTCCATTCCAGTAAAATTCAATATCATCAGTAGTGTATCCATCTGAAACAGAGGCAAAATTTGGTTATTGACTTTTCTTTTTGTTTTACTATTTTGCTTAAATAGTTGAGGTTGAAGTGGAAGGAACTGTCGTTAATCACAAATTCAGCCTTCTGTTGCGTGACATTCCTGTTATACACAAGCCATGTAGCCTCCTCCATACCCTGGGGAAGCATCTAGGTGTAAAAAGGGAGAAGACAGAAAACCAGGACAGAATTTAAGATTAAAGATAATTTTTTAGCTAGTGATAATGCAACAATTTTCCATTCAGGCTTGAGTTGCTCATTTTGCCAATAGACTGATACAACATCAACAAAACTTTTAAACTCTTTTTGGAGGAGCTCTGACAGTAAAACCAGCTTCAGTTCCCAGCTTTTCATTTGATTTCCTATGCAGGCTGTGACAAAATATAGAGTTGGGAGTCAGTGGAGGCAAAGATGATTCTAGAAGAATTAAGGTGCCTGTAATATTACCTGACAGTGTCTGTCAGAGCTGAAGGCAACCCTTTGATATTCATGAAGCATTTTATATTTTAATTAGACCATGCCAACTTTGATCTTCTGTTATCACAGAACTATTGCTTTTTTACTTCTAAACTAACACCTTTCTTCTGTTTCCTTTTAGCAGTGATGTTGATTATTTCTAATTTAATTAAAAATTAATTTGCCATTCTACCACTGGAAATGTTAACATTATTGTTATCATTTTCAGAAATATTTTGATTGAACTAAAAAGTGACTGAATTTAAAAAAAATGTCATAATTGACAACATTTTTGAACTAATATTTAAACGGGTTCCACTTTATTGCATTTTTCTAATTTCTCCCTGTATCTACCAAAGGAGAGAACAACTTCTCATCTATTTTTAAACTTTTCCTTCAGGTGTTAGATTTAATCAGGTTTAAATCATATAACAGAGATCAAATAAAAACATGTGTTTGAACTCAAAGCTTTAGAAAACTTGACAGTAGTTTTGCCAGCTGAACTAACCATAGCATCAGAAGCCTCTACAAAAGTAGGAACTTATCCTTTCATATACACCAGTAATACAATATCTAGCTAGGGAAATTAGTCTTGAGATGTCTTTCCCTATGATGGTGCCTGGTAATAGCCTCATCTTTGAAAGGCTGGCCACATACAGAACAGGTTTGTGGTTTCCCTGGTGACAATCAGAGAAGCTCTCAGAACTTGCTGGCAGGCTCCAGAGACTGCTTGGAAAGCCTGCAGTTATTGAGCAGCTATATTTTGATGCAAACACACAGTGATGGGCTGAACAAGTTTAAATGTTCACATATTTTATTTGTGAACTGTTCAGAACCATAGTTTTCTGACTATAGGAATTGCTCCAAAAACCATACTAATCTATGTAATATGGATCACTGCTGTTAGCTTAAAATGATGCTTTTCATTACTTATGCTAATTTTTTTTTAAATGAACCATCTCAAGGCTGTGACATAGAACTTTGCATGGCTGGTTTCCATTCCTTTTCACTGCAGAAGGTCAAAGTAGCTCCTTACTAGTGGGACTTCAGTAGCTGCTTTAAAGGTTTTGTACACAAACCACAGAACCAATATGAGCCAAATGTAGGGTGTAATACAGAATGATTGAAAGAGGGAATGAAGACTGCTAAGACTATTTAAAAGGCCAAGACCAAGACTGGCAAGGAAGTGTTAACTTCATTTTCTTGCAAGTCTATATTATAAAAAAAAATTCTCTTGAATGATTTCCCTTTTCAGAAAAGATGGTGCCAAACAGAGGAAATTGGAACTGTCATCTCATACTGAAAGGGTATGCATAGGCTTGGTACTACACAGATATCCTCTACATGAGGTAATACTCATCCTTTGTCTTTAGGGGACAGAATAAAGAACAAATTTGACATCACTACTTAGATGTTGCACAGGTACTTGCTGTAAAGTCACAGGTGAAGATTTAAGTGTGAGAATCCTGAATTCTGCCTCAGGGTTTGGAAGAAAATGATGACCCTGATTCTTGTGTTCTGTGCCATCATCACCTAAGGCCCATTTCACACCCTACCCTTTAAATCTGCTCCCATTGTGCCACTTAGTGCTGGGACCAAGGGCAGAGATGGGAGTCGTCTCCAATCCTCAGCAACTCCTGACTTTATATGCAGCCTCTACAGGCAACCTCTGCCATCCTCTGCAGTTCCTCCGACTTTTTGATGAAAGAGGGAGTAGTTTGGGCACCTTATTGCAGCTATAATTCCCTTCCCCAAAGATGAATTATTGTAGATATAGTTGTTAAAACCCACAGTGGTGCCAAATAAACACCTGGGATACCTCAGGTCAGATTTCAAAAAGAAAACAAGCACAACCTCCTACAAAAGGATTGCACCATGTTCTTGGTACACAGTGTGGTGATGCTGGATTTTAACAAAAAGAAATTATGTGAGCTCTTTAATGTAGACAAACATGCTTTTCACTAGTCTTGGAAAGGTTTCTATGACTTTGGCTACTAAATGAAGAGTAAAACTAGTAGGTTATAAAGTCAGTTGAGCAAAAGCAAGAACGTTGCATGGAAAATACCAGCTGGTGACAAGCCATCACTGCTTGGCCATGGCAGGCCATGTTTTTAACCTTTACAAACTTCAAAGAGACTTCTAAATACATCAAACAATGGATCTAGTGTGAGCTACTGCTGTTTGTAAATATACTGATTTCTTCCTTGAATTTACTCATTTGAAGCTGAAGGAAATTATGAGAAAGGGATAGTGATGTTTTTCAATCAGGAGCATTGACATTTGTTAGCTCTCTTTTTAGAAGAGTAATTGAGCAGGAACATCTTCCTGTGGTTTTATGTAGAGCAAACCTCAGTACATTCATTATTTCCTTGGCAGTCATTGTAATAACTCTACTAGACACTAAGAAAGTGTAAACTCTCCCTGGGCAGTCCATTCCCTGATGTGATAGGATTGTTGCTGTGTGATGCCCTCCATTATGTGTTTTGCACATTGTGTAGGTGTATGAGAGGCATTGCATTCCTGGCTGATAGTGACTCACAGGTGCAGGGGTTGGAGGCCTTCATGTTCTATAGGTATTGACATGGCTATTTTGTTTCCAAACGAGCAAACTTGAGAGGAAGACAGTTGGCTGCAGTTTAAAGACAGGAATTGATCTCAGCTCTGACCAGAGTTAGCAGAGGACAGATCACTCCTTCCTTTTGAAGTGGACAGTGCCTTTAAGAGAGGAACTGTAGTGATGCAAATTAAGAAACGTTCAAGTGTGGAGCAGCACTGACTTGTGGCTAGCAGGTAATGACAAACCCTCATTTTGGGCAGCAAATGCCTTGGCATTTACAATGGAAGAAAAGCTATTTCAATGATAGCTTTTTGCCTGTGCGGTGGCCAGTGTAAATGCTGATTTGTTCACTGAACTTATCTGTACTGCCCAGGTACTCCCTCTGCAGCTCTTTTTCCATGTAATCCTTTTCCCTCTGTGCATGTATCCATGTCACCAATTTAAAGGGGTGCCTCTGCTTTTGTGACAGAGAGCGCAGCACTCTCAGCTGGACAAGGATGTGCGAACACAAATTTCACAAGAGTCAGATATCGCGAACCGAAATATTTCAATTATGTTCACAACAGCTGTCAAAGAGCAGTTGCAATTCTAACTACAGAAGTCCAGTATTATTCCCCCCCCGTGTGTGAGAGCACGGCGCTGACGAAGAGCATCGAGCCGGTCGGGTACCGCGCCCGGCGGGCTCGCGGGGGCGCCCGCGCTCCGCGGCCGGGCGGTGTCGCTGCGCGGCTCCTGCGGGACCCGCCGGCCCGGGCGCGGAGGGTGCGCCGCGATTTAAACACGTCGGCTCCGTATTTCTAGAGCAAACATGGCCTGATTTCTGGGCCGACATCCCTGGCAGTCTAGCTCACTTCATCAAACAGTTTTCCCAGGAATTTTGCGTCTGATTTTGTTGACCTAAATAATAAATGACCACTAAATTTATTTATTTTTAATTAATAAATGTCCCATGAAAAATATCTGATCTATTTAAGCCTTTGTGTGCGAGATTCTTTTCCATCTTTAAAGCCATTAAAAAGTATTTAATTGCCCAGCTCAAGATATGAAACTTCTGCTTACTAGAAAATATTGTCCAGAAACGAAAATACAGCCCTTGATGTGCCAACACTTTTTTTTTTTTTTCCAACTTCTAGAGCAGCAGCTGAGAGTTCAAGTGAGAACACTTGGTCAGAAGTACCACAGATCTAAAAAGTGCCTAGATACACATACAACAAGAAACAGATTATGTATAAATCTTGCTGTTCACAGAAAAAATATTTTGGAAATGTTGCTGACATTGTGATATAGCTGAGGTTAACAGTGTATTGGATGTCACTAGGCTGTTTTATTTTCCACTGCAGCACCTACCATCTTAAATACCTCTGGGATAAATAAGGATCTGTGTTACTTTAACAAATTAAAGTCATGATTCCACTATCTTTACCAATTCAACAGAGATGTCCCTTTTTCCTTCTTATTCTCCAGGATAGGCAGCTCTGAAACACCCAGAAGCACGGTTTCATCTTAGGATCTCTGTCTAAATAGGGTTTTTCAAAAGTCTGCATCAAATGTGTGTGACCCAAATCTTTTAGCCTTGTGAAAGGACATGAGGCTGGAACCCAACCCTCTTCCATCCCTCCTGGACCATGCCTTTTGTAACAACTTAGTATTTGTTGCTAAATGTAGTCTTATATTTTTCTTGTTATTATTCCTATGACTGTATTCAAACAGGAAGATAATGCATTTCTCCCATGCACCACTGAGGTGGTCCATACAGTGGTAAATGTATTGTACTATTTCGACTTAAACCTGACATGAATGGGGCATCACAGATCTGAAGATGTGTTTTAGAACTGTAACATTAGTTAACATTAAGGTGAAAGAATTGCTTGAAAAGACTCCCTGCCACCTGTGTTTGAGCATGTATTTGCATCTTTCAGTTACCTTTTTTTTTCACTGAGAAATATTTTCTATAGGCAGATGGC